CAACCAGGTGCGGAGTACAAAGACAAGTGTGTCTTGCCTACAGTCAAGCATGGTGGTGGGAGTGTCATGGTCTGGGGCTGCATGAGTGCTGCCGGCACTGTGGTACTACAGGTCATTGAGGGAACCATGAATGCCAACATGTACTGTGACATACTGATGCAGAGCATGATCCCCTCCCTGCGGAGACTGGACCGCAGGACAGTATTCCAACATGATAACGACCCCAAACGCACCTCCAAGACGACCACTGCCTTGCTAAAGAAGTTGAGGGTAAAGGTGATGGACTGGCCAAGCATGTCTCCAGACCTAAACCCTATTGAGCATCTGTGGGGCATCCTCAAACGGAAGGTGGAGGAGTGCAAGGTTTCTAACATCCACCAGCTCTGTGATGTTGTCATGGAGGAGTGTAAGAGGACTCTAGCGGCAACCTGTGAAGCTTTGGTTAACTCCGTGCCCAAGAGAGTTAAGGCAGTGCTGAAAAATAATGGTGGCCACACAAAATATTGACCCTTTTTCGACCAATTAAGACATTTTCACTTAGGTGTGTTCTCACTTTTGTTGCCAGTTTAGAGATTAATGGCTGTGTGATGTGTTATTTTGAGGGGACAGCAAATTTACACTGTTATACAAGCTGTACACTCACTACTTTACTCTGTAGCAAAGTGTCATTTCATCAGTGTTGTCACATGAAAAGTTATAATCAAATATTTACAAAAATGTGAGGGGTGTACTCACTTTTGAGAGATACTGTATACGGCGCTTGTCTGTTCATCCAACCCTGTTCCATAAACGTGCTCATTTTAGCCTGTGTGGCTCGCTGCTAGTTTTATGCACTATGCATAAAACAACACAGGCCTCTCCTGTCTTTCTCCCTCCTTGCTACCCACGCCACTCCCTCCTCTCTACATCTATCTTCCTCCATTCTTCCTATTTCCATCTCTCTCTCTCTCTCTCTCTCTCTTTCTGAGTGTGACAGTAGTCATGTCAGAATAAGGCTGGCTGAAGCACTTGCAGCAGTCTGCCTCTTTGATGTTGAGCCCTGCTGAATTAGGCCATCACCCAGCGGTGCTCTGCTGCCTGCCTGTAGAGACACACTAGTAACACACACACACACACACACACACACACATATACAGTACATTTGCGAGCACACACAAACAAACATAAACAAATACATTCTGGTAGGAAGGCATGCACGTGCAAAACAAAGCAAACATGCTGCTCCTCACACAATGGCTTTAATAATACGCACCAAAAATTTCCTATTCTCTCTCTCACAGATTATATCTCACACACACACAATGTGAATTACATTCATATAGTCCTAATTTCCTCCTCTTCTTCTCTTTAATAAACATAAATTTGAATTCTTATGAGTGCTTCCCCTCTGAGGCCTCCATAGTATAGTACATCAAAGAACACGCACACACTCATGAAGACACACACAGGGAAAATATAGGACATTCAGAGGGAACTTATTCAAGAATGCAGAATACAGGAGAGAAGTTCCCTTTCAATCTGCTCCCTCACGTTTACAATAGGATCGTACTGAATTACATATAGAAATTCATAAATGAACATGTTTAAAATGGAAATATATATTCTGTTCAATTTACAAAGATGTCGTCTGTCATGAGTTTAGTTCCAAAATCATATGGAGAAAAAGGTTTTACTGCCCTGAGCGAGGATGTCATGTTCACAAATCTTTTTTTGCGTCTAACAAAAACCAAAACCTTCTTCAAACATTAAAGCTGCAGTAATCAATATTCAATGGTAACAATGGTTAAATAATTATGTGTAATGTGAAATGTGCTTGTTGTGATGAATCCACAGATAATTATCATCCAAATCTGCCGTTTCCTTCATCGCTATGTAGCTTTTTACTTTGTCTGACCCATTACTATACTGTACTGTTTTGGTAAACAGTAGTGGACTTTAAATAGGACTACTGTACCACTGATTAATTATTATTAACACCAACAGTGAGTTTGATATTTGTCGTTTTGTGTTGGACAAAGATCTTTTTTTAAATTTGTGTCTCCTGCCCTGTCAGAAAAATAAGTGGAATTCTGTTTTCAAAGACAATCGGCACAACTCTTTTTTTCTGAATTCTTATACCCTGATGTATAATTAATGAATGGAGAAATAGCCTTTCAACTTTTTGTAGGAGTTATTCAGCCTATATAAAAATTATAAAAGAATCACAAAACATGTCTAGACATTCAGTCGAAAGAATGAGAAATGACCCCTATCATCTCTTCCAGATCCTAAATTCCTCATCCCATGCCATGACTGTTAATAAGTACATGTGCAAGATGTACAATGAAAGAAAAGAGAAAGAAATGCAAACAACAACTGGTGTGCACATTACTACAGTGCTCTCTCTCTCTATGTGCTCTCTGGTGGCCAGGAACAGCCCTGTGGTCAAACTGGAGAGCAGCCAAGGATCTTTCCATCAATTAGTTGATCCCCCCCCCCCCCCCCCCCCCTATCTGTGCCTTCAACTCTATCTTTCTCTTCTTCACTCCATCTCTCTCTCTCTCTCTCTCTCTCTCATTATTTCCACTGTTTTTGGCTCGCTAGAGGACCGCTTGAGAAGATGGCATCTGAATGTAGGACACTTAAAGAGCAAAAGCTATTCTTTTAAATGTTATAAAGTAATCACTGAAAAGGATCCTTATAACCTTTATTAAGCTCTCACAGGCAAAATTTAATATCATGTATTGTTTATTTATTTGGAAAATTGATATAAAGTTGTACAGCTTTATATGTCTGTCTTTGAAGTGTTGGTAAATGAGTAGGGAAAGCAGGTGGTACCTGGGTTCAAGACAATAACAACCCACATTTTACAATCACACGCATAAAATTGCAACAGACAGTTGTGCCTCCCTGCTCTCCACTCCACACACAGCGTGTCATCACTGCATATCAATTACATGGGGAAGTGAAGATCTATTTCTAATTCAATCAGTCAGCACTGGTGTCACATCCCTCACTCTCTGGCTTTCTCCCTGCCTTGCCCGCTCTCTCCGCCTCGCTCTCTTATTTCCCCCTCGCTTCATTCTCATTGATGCGTCGCAGTCATCGTGGGGCTGGTGGACGCAGGCGTCGGGTGTGTGTGTTTGTTTATGGATGTGTGGAAGAGGGAGAGAGTGTGTGTGTACTTCTTACCCTGTGGGAAACTTTATAAGTTTTAGACTTCTGGCGTGACAATGTATTTGAGAAGTGAGGTAATCCTGGCCTGACCTTGTTTCTGCAGAGGGCCAGGAGGGTTTGTTAAAGATGCTATGTGGAATATTTTCAAACACTGGCATATCATTCTTAAATTAACTGCTATATCTTGTTTCTGGAAAATGAGACTGTTTATAATTAGTGATAGTGTTTCCTAAAATTAAGACTTATTATTAAATAAGGCTATATTATCTTGATGTTCCTTTTGTAAAATTGTCACGTTTATCTCTAAGTTTACTACTTAAACGTACATTAATTTAGCAAGAGTTGATGAAAGTCCAATATTCACTCTCCTTTTAAGTGTTTTGGTCTTCCCTAACTCCTGAGAAAGAAATCTGTAAAATCTGTAAATTTGTCTCTCAGTGCTAGGCAGATAGCCTACAGTGGGATATTAAAGATATTTTACTGCAAAAAACGAGGTTGAATAGAGGAGTAAGGCTATTATAATTGCAGTATAGACATTCAGCACCACAAACAATTTGCCACTTATAGCAATTCAGCCGGACAGCTTTCATCAAAGAAACTGATATTTGTGCCACTGTAGTTATGTTTGACGGTATGGCTCTGCTCTGGGAGAGCACCTCCCTGCCCATCCATGTGCATACAGGGAAAGCCCGAGGCAGAGAACATCAGTAAAGAACCCCCTGGTACAGAACAGAGCAGGCATTAACAAACGAATTATATGATTAATCAGATGCAGCCTGAAAGGCGGAGCTGGGGTGGAGCTTGACTTTGTTGCCTGCCTGAACTAACACTGTGCTTGAAATTGTTTCATCCCATTGATGTACTCTGTTCTTCAAGGAAGCTCTCAAAGAATATGGGCAATGGGGATTCAGCTGGGAGATCAAATATCTCCTTATTATTATTATTGTTATAATCAATAACACCAAAAAAGATAGCACCTAGGGAGGAGGGTGTGGTGTGAGTGTATCAGCAGAGTAATGGTCATGTTATAATGGCCAAGCTGTACACCAGTAAAAATGTGTTTGGAGGAAAGTAGTCAGCTGATGAATGAGCCATTCTCAAGCAAGAATAATACAGCTGATGCCAGTCAGCTAATGCCGTGAAAGATGTTCTACCTGACACAAGGAAAAGTAATCTGCATTAAAACTTGAAAAAGTAAATCTCAGAATCAGTTTAAAACATGACACACTACCTCACACACCTCACCACACGTTTGTACTATGATGTATGACCAAACTCTGTGACTCATAATTTAATAATTTGTCATAAAGAAAGAAAACTATATTTGTGTGCCTGTTTTCAGAATGTAAGGAGACACAATGTGTTACCATTATTGTGAAGGTGTTTATTATTTTGCTTCTTAGCTGTCCTTGTGCATAACTGTAGGCCTATATTAAGTAACGTTTGGCATCTGCACATCTAACGGCTTTATGAATATATTTGTGATTTTAAGCAGAAACATTATGTAATGAAGGCTGATCGAAATGCGCAAATAGTTATTGAGCCTCAGCTAATGATTACATCCGTTCCCCCAACATGAGCTTAACTAGCATCTTAGATCACATTCTGCATACAGTGTACAAACAAAAAGGATAAAAACACAAATGTCAAGTCCTAAAAGTACTAGAGTTGCAGATGACTTTTAATTGTGTGATATTGTTACTCCCTCTTGAGAATATTCTCATTACACTAGTTGATGGAAATATACTGATTGTCATTTTCTATGGGTGACACTAGTGAAATATATTTAATATGTGCACCACATTTAAATAGAAATGTTCTCTCTCTTTCTCTCTTTCCCTCAGAACACAACCATTTGAACAACGCAGCCTTGCCTCCCCTGGGTCCAGCCATGGCCTTGTCTCACCCTCATAATAACCTGGGAATTGGCTTTAACAAGTACACATCGCTGAAAGCCGTGGGTGAGTAGGAGTACACGTATACACACAGACACACAACTTTCCAACCTCATGTATGTGTGTTTGATTACTTTCTTATGGATTACTAGTGATGTAAACTTAACAAGACAGCTACAGAACACATGCAGATACAGAACACATGCTTACTGTACAGAGGCCAAACTGGCCAAACTGGCCTCTGTACAGTAAGCATGTGTGTTCTTCTGCACAGTACAAAACAAACCTGATTCCTGATGATGAAAAAAATACTAAATGCCTCCTTATTGGTGCACAAGCTGAGCTGCGTGGTTAACGCTGAGCTAACACCAATTAGGATAATGAACTTGTTATGAGTCTGACTTTCATCTATTCGTGTTGACTCACGATTCATGTTTGAGTGCTGTGGCTGATTTAAGGTTTAATTTTTATATTTCATTATATTTCATTATATTAGATCATGGCAGCTTAATGTAAATATTATGACTACATTTGGCCACTCACAAGAAAGACAACCTCCCACCTATTGTTGAGTTAGAGGAATAAAGTTATCCTTGGTGAAATGAACAGCATAAGTACAAGACTGGAAACTTAAGTCGTGCTCAACTTATTATCACACACCATGAAAAGCTGTCACTGTTGAGCAGGAGATTAGCAGCTAGGTATCACAGAACAAACACACGCACATAACATTTAAAACATAGCAGCTGTGTAGTTTTGCACTAAAAATTAAACCAATAAACCAATAGGCAAACTAAATATGTGTGTCATGTTTCATTGGTGGTACTGTTCCCATCCAGACAATCAATGCCATATATATATACATATATAAATTCACCAGCAAAGTCACCATAAAAGTCACCAGCTCTCCACCCAACTCAACATGTATGAGAGAATTTCGGTTAATATGTTAGACACCTTTCTCAAAACACCAAAGGAGGATATGTAGAATTCATACCAAAGCAGGTACTAACACCTTTTTCTTTTCATTTAGTCCTTCAGTTACAATCATAAATAACTTCCTTTTTGATACGAAAATAATTGTGTTACATTAATGTTTCATTATCTTTACGAAACTGGGGAAGTACTGTATTAAACAAAGCAGACGTTAGGGTTATTGTTGCCTCACAACCATGAAAAAAAAAACTACTATATGTTGTTTGTTATAGGTGGGTTAGTCATCTACCTAAAGCTCATTGATGACAGTTTTTGGACAGCTTGCCTTTCTGTTAGTGGTAAATGTGAATCACCTGTGGAAAAAAAGGTGCAATGATGGCATAACTTATAGAGGACTGATAACTCAACTGGTTCAGAAAATATAAATCGCACACACACAGAATTAATTAGGAATTGGTGGGTGGTGAGTGACAGCAGTCTGGGCAGTATCAGTCTGAAGCGACTGGTCCAGGCCTCAAGCTTGCCCGCTGGCCTCTCTCGCTCTCTCTTTCTCTCTCACACACACACACACTATAACCATGTCCTACCCACCGCACACGCACAGGCATTATACTTCCTCCCTACAGCACAGCCACACATAAACATGCACAAGCATAAACATGTACAATACATAGACACTCACACACATCATCTATTGTCAGATCATTGCAGACAGATAAGGACATAGTGACGATGATGAGGGATGAGGGATGACAGTTTGACACATATGACAAACTACAACGCAAAGAGAGACAGGGCTGTTCATCATAGCTGAAGAGTATCAGACACAGAAACATGAGACGTCCAAAGGTTTTAACGACAAAGACATAATCGATTGACTGTTTGCTAAGCCCAACCCCTTTTAGCAACTTTTGGTTACAACTTTCAAGCTTTCTGTTCTCATACAGCAAATAATGCAATTTCTTGAACAATGTGTCCTTGAATTCAGACAGTGGTGGACAAAAGCAGGCTTCTGATTGAAAGGACAACTGTCGCAAAGCAGATTTTATTTAGTAGAACTCCAGTGATGTCATTGAGAGCTAAAGCAGAATTCTTGTGATGTCATTGTAACCTACAATAGAGCACGTGTTATGTCCTATCTCAAGTTATGTCATAGAGGGATACTTTAAAACTCAAGTGGTGTTGTTATGAGCAACAGCAGAAGAACTGTAGTGATGACACTAACTAAAGGTAGAACACTGGTAATGTAGTAGAGAGTAACAGTAGAACACTCATGATGTCATCCTGAACTACAGTAGAGCTCTAATGATGTCTTTATGAGCTACAATAGAACCACCCCCACCTTTACCAGCCTCACCACACATTCAAATGCAAGGTGATGGCATAGTCAATTTCTTGAACTTTGGTGTAGTCATTGAGAGCTAAAGTAGAACTCTAGTGATGTCACTATGATCTACAGTAAAACACGTGTGATGTAATTTCTCTAGTAATATAAGTATGAGCTACAGTAGAACACTAGCTGTATTAGTGAACTAGAATTGAACTCCAGTTATGTCACTGTGAGCAATAGTAGGACTCTACTGAGGTAATTCATAGGTACAGTAGATCTCTACTGGTGTCATTGTGAGCTTATGTAGAACTGTAGCAATGTCATATAGAGCAACAGTAGAACCCGACTTCTGTAATTGTGAGCTACAAAAGAAAACGTGAAAATAAACACAAATAAAATAGGTATGTCACGGTGAGTTAAAGGAGAACCCAGTGATATAATTAAAAGCTACAGTGCAACACTAAAGTAGATTTTTTGAGGGCTACTTTAGAAGTCTAGTGATGTAATCATAGCTTAAGGCCTGGATATACTTGCTTACGCAAGATGGCTGCCACGCGTATCCTGCGTTCCTTTGGAGCGTAGGTTGTGCACGTCCCCAGGAATTAATGCTACGCGTCCACCAGATGCAATTCAGCACATGAACATGGGGGCAGTATGTCGATCTGACCGACAGGACAGCAGCAACCTACTGTTCCACACGCCAGCCCAGGTGGTGGAGGTATGCAGTTGGTTTGCTAACTGCAATTAAATTAAACAATTAATTAATTTAATTTAATGCAAAAGAAGAAGAGGGTCAGCAGCAGACTTTAAAAAAAAGGAGATTTATGGCAGGATGGTGTATGTCTAATGATGTAATTATGAGCTCCAGTAGAACAAAAGTGATGTTAGTGAGAGGAACAGTAGAACTCTAGCGATGATGTGGCCTTTTATTGTGGCCAGTCCAAGGCACACCTGTGCAATACCCATGCTGTCTGATCAGCATCTTGATATGCCACACCTGTGTGTTGGATAGACTATCTCAGCAAAGGAAAAGTGCTCACTAACACAGATTTTGACAGATTTGCAAACAATATTTGAGAGAAATAGGCCTTTTGTGTACACAGAAAAAGTCAGATCTTTGAGTTCAGCTCATGATGAATGGGAACAAAAACAAAACTGTTGTGTTTATAATTTTGTTCAGTGTATATACCAGCACCCATACTTTATTAAAAACTATTATAGCTTTACTACCTTCCCATTGGTGTGCTAGATAGGAAAACAATGTCACCTTCATGACTCAGGAGTCCATAAGGGGTGCTCTAAAGGCAGGAATAATTTCACTGGTCAACACTACACCTGGCATTCTATTGACTGGAGAATTTTGACAGGGTTATTGCAAAAAACATCTGAGAACACTGGAGAACTCTGAAAACAGTCATTCCACAGAGTGCGAGGAGAAGGGCTGAAGCTAGAGCACAGCAAATCTAAATGCAAGGCTATTTGAGTGCAAGGGCAGGGCTTTGAGGGAAAGTGAGAATCTGAATATGAAATCAATGAGTCATGTGCTCAAATTGAAAGACCACCCTCTTGAATAAAAATAGGGCAAACATAGTAACTCAAGAAACTTCACTGAGAACTACGGTGGAACTAGTAATGAAAGTCTGACCTGCAATAAAACCCATGTGATGTCATTGTGAGCCACACTGGAAATCTAACATTGTCACTGTGGCCAACAGTAGAACTGTAGTGGTGAATCTGTGAGCTACAGAAGAACACTAGTGGTACCATAACACTTGTTATGACACTGTGGGTTACAGTAGAACAATAGCGATGTAATTTAGAGATACAGTAGAACTTTAGTAATGCATATAAACGCACAGTAGAATTCTAGTGATGTAATTAAGAGCTACAGTAGAACACTACTGATGCCATTGTGAGGTACAGTAGAACACTAGTGATGCCATTACTCTAGTGATGACAATGAGGTCATTATGAGCTACAGTGTAATTCAAGTGATGACACTTAACAGGAGAACACCAGTGAAATCATTGGGAACTACAGTAGAACTCCAGTGATGTCACTGGGAGCGAGAGGAAAACTAGTGATGTCACTGAGAGCTAACGCAGAACTCTACTGATGTCATTGTGGGCTGCAGTAGAACTCTATGTTGTTGTTGTCCATGCTACACTCAGTGGTCAGTCAGTCTCCCCAGTGTCCCCTCACGCCTAAAATCCACTGACTCCAGCTACGGCGCGTTACGGCTGCGCCGCGGTTGCCAGAGCTAATCGCTCTCCGCTCCGCTCCTCAGAAAACAGGTAGGTCTATTTTTGACAGAAGCCGCATCAAGCAGCACAGAGCAGATCGACCCAGACAGGAAGTCAGACACAGAATAGCATAGAGAATCTGGTAAATTTTCAAAATGAAACACCCGATCGAAAAACAACAATAAACAGGGTCCAAACAGACACAAAAATAAGCCATTTAACTACGTAGCCTTAATCATAGTAAAAGCAGAAAAAGCAAGCACTGATTTCCAAATCAAGAAAATATAAACATGTCAGCAAAATCAGGCAGGGGAAATGCTCTGATTCTGAAATGCTCCTTGTGGCATATTGAGCCTGCTGACAACGGAACGAAACAGGGTCACAGAGAGCTGTGAAGAAGTTAGTAGAAACACAAAAAGGACAAATTAATAACAAGTCAAAAACGTGAGGCAGGCTATATGCTCCACTGCTGAAACTCTTCTGAGATGGCCACGAGGTCACGCCCACAGTCACTGCTCTTTAATTCCTCTGTTACATTTTTAAAATATGCCGGGATG